TAAATAAATAAATAATTTAAAAAAAAAAATTTTTGCTCCAGAAACAGGGTTTTAAGTCCTGGCTCAGTCAGAAGCTGGTTCAATTTCCCTATCTGTAAAATCATAAGATCAGCCTACCTCACACAGTGATTTCCCAGTATTAAATTAGAGCTCTTGAATCATAACAAATATTAGTTAGCATTAGAGCTCTCATTTCCACATGTATCCTGTGCTTGACTCTATGTTAAAAAAGCGTCAGGGAAAGGGAGATTTGAAAACACTGGAGGTTTAGGCAATTTGAATATTTAAGAATGATTAAACAAAAAAATCTCTGAAATCTGGATTTCTTTCCAAGTCAGTTGTCGACGTTGTAGTCATTGAAAATATGAACGATATTGTTTTATAATTCAGTGTTAAATACTCCATCTTTTGTCAACTAGAGGAAAAAATATAATGAGCAGAACACATATCCACATTTTAATCATTAGTAGTAAAACCCACCTAAAATGATTTTAAAATATAACCTAGGGGCCGGCCCGGTGGTGCAGCGGTTAAGTGCGTGCGCTCTGCTTTGGCGGCCTGGGGTTCGCCGGTCCCGGGCGCGCATCAACGCACCGCTTGTCAAGCCATGTTGGGGCGGCGTCCCATATAAAGTAGAGGAAGATGGGCACGGATGTTAGCCCAGGGCCAATCTTCCTCAGCAAAATACAGGAGGATTGGCATTGAATGTTAGCTCAGGGCTGATCTTCCTCACAAATATATATATATATATAACCTGAATAAAAAGGAAAAAGAGAGTCTTACTTTGGGGTAATAAATAGCTCAAGATCCTACTAATGTTTGTCCCAATTCCTGAGAAATAAAATTATGACTAGTCAAGGTTCAGGGAGACTCAGGGGTTTTATGAAGACACTGTAGGCACCTGTTTTATGCAAGGCAATGTTCTGGGCATACAAATAGGACATGAAAACAAATAATGCCTTTCTTTCCCGAAAGCAGGCCTTTATCATTTCCTGCGGCAGCAGCAATCAGCTAGCTGATGCTATTATTAAAGCCACAGGCATTTTATTCAAGTAACTAGCTCTATGCGAAAGGAAAGAGCATTAGGCCTCTCATCACTTGGCAATGGGTTTGCGAAAACAAGGATTTGTCTTTGCTGACAAGAATAAGGAACAACCTGATGCGGAAAATGTAACAAATATCTGCTGCTCTCAGGCTGCAAGATGAAAAACTCCTCTTACAATGAGAGGGAATGGCAGATTAGAAAGCAAGCAGAGTTCAGGGAACAGCTCAGGACATTTATCCAGAGGGTGGCAGACAGTTAACAAGCATATAATGTCAGGAGTGATAAGTGCTAGGGAGAAAAATAGTGCAGAGTAAAGAAATGGAGAGTGGTGAAGTGGGTGTGTGCTGTTGGTGGGGGCAGGCACATCTTAGTAAGGTGACCTGGAAAGGCTCTCTGAGCAAGTGACTTCTGAGCCAACATAAAAGAAGAAAAAAATCCCATGTGAGAATAACAACAGAGGGAAGAACATTCCAGGCAGAGGGAACAGCAAGTGCCAGGTGCCCTGAAGGGAATGTGAATAGTGTAAATGAACGATCAGGAGGGGGTGGGGGGAGGTGGGAAGAAGTGGTAGGTGAGGTTGCTGAGGTGACAGGACGCTGGGGACTGAAGGTCTGCTGGAGTCTCATGGCTATTGAAAGGCACACACTCCGTCTATCTTGGTAACTCTCTTCTAAAATAACTGATAGTGCCATGTGGTTGGGATGGTGTCTTATTCAGAGGAAAGCAAGAGTCTGGGCCTCACAATGTCCCACCACGATGTCAGCACTCCCGGGTCCAAGACCGTTCGGTGGTTCCTTGAAGGTGGACTGATTCCCCAGTGCGCAGAGATGCTGAGGAATGTCTATATTCCTTCCTCCCAGATCTTGGTCCTTCCCTTTCCCTGACCAACCAGTGCAATTCACAAGGTCACTCTCCATCCACAATCACCATGACTATTGCCACCATGCCACCAGAATGAATAAATTAAACTGTCCCTGCTGCTTTGTATCACCCACTGGAGAGTCAATGCAAGAGCATCATTTTGGCCAAGTATTGGTCATCCCATGCCTGAGGTTAGGCTGCCAGGGGTCAGGAACGCGACCTTCTGGCTTCCGGAGTAGGAGGCAAGATCCATCTCTTGCCAAGATTCATACAATGGCAGATTCCCCAAGTCTGGAAGGGGATCAGATGCTGAAGTGACAAAATCAAGATAAAAGTCCATTACTCCTACTTAGAGATATATCTTCTACCCTTTCCAAGATAGGGTTGTTCCTTTTGACACTTACACTTCTGCTTTCTCCTGACTCTTGTCAACATCACACCGCCCTCTCCAATCAGCAGATCTTTGCCTTCCTTGTTCTTTTTTCATCAAATAAATGGTGTTTATTCTTTAGAAATAACCAGTCCAATTAAGCTTGACTTGACCTGAAGGTCAGAAAATTACTCTTGGGCTAAACCCACACTCTCTGAAACTGAGGTGGAGGTGTAAATGGTGGACTGTAATTTTAGAGCTCCCCTAGATAAAAATATAATCTTGCAAAGGATTGTGTTTAGAAACAGACCTGCTATGGTAGTGTAATTTACATTTGTAACTATAGAAAGCTCGAGGATAAGCAGCTTGCAGTAAAATAGCAAAGCAAATTGAATAATCAGTTCCTTTAAATACTGTGAAACATTATAAATAGTGCTGCTTTATGAGTCACGACCTCATAAATTGAATTTGGAAACTAGCAAAGAATATTTTCTGGGAAATGCTATTCTGTTTCCTTAAGTAAATGTAACCAGTAGGGAAAGGGTATAATTCCAGGATAAACCTGGTGAGGTAATTAGAAAGAAAAGGTAAATGTAGAATCTAGAGTCCCTTTTCCAGCTAACAGCCTGCCTATAGGGGGTAAAATGCACGTCGACAATAAAACAGGCATAGAGCCTGTACTTCCAAAAGCATGTGCTAGGTGTCTGTGAGCATTATAATGTCTCCTGCCCGTTACCCTAGACCATCATGCATCCTCCTCTGTCCTGCTCTCTGCCCAGCTCATGGTCATCACAGACTATTACTGGGGCTTCCTTGTCTTCTAGGTTTTATTTGGCTTTGGCCAGTGGGAGGTTTGGGCAGGAAAT